TATGACCTAATGACCCTCCAACCACCAAACTGTGAATTAAAGTTATGGAACATTCGGAGTAAGAGATGTAGGTACAACACAAACGTGTAACTATATAGATACAGTTCTGAATAATGCTTAATTAATTTTTAAAATTAAAAATTTTAGTACTCACCAGAATATCTTCCTCCTTCTAGCATTGTAAGCCAGTTCCACATTTGGAAAAACAAGTGGGATGTTGAAATGCAAATTATCAAAATATCGGCTGTCCGGATGAAAAGTATCCAAAATAACAAAATTATATCTCGGAAACTAATCGTCATACACGTATGCGGTTTATGTCATCGAAAAGGAAAACCCTGTAATTTTTTTTCGTGTCTGGCTTACGCGCATGCGCCGCCACATTTCTGCCACCATGTTAGGAATCACCTGGACAGAGAGATGGCTGGGAGATAGATCGGCCGAAGTGGATCAATCTCTTGGCCTCCTAGGTCGCCAGATTTAACCCCACTGAACTTCGATAGTTTCCTTTTGTAGTGGTTTAACCCACAAATGTGTATAATAAAAGCTTTCTGAGATATAGTTATTTTATTTTGGATACCTTTCATCCGGACACACGTAAATACAAAATACACATACAAAATACGAACAAGGCCGCTGTGTGTAGTTGTTTAAAGGTGACTGCTACACACGGGTTACTGCAGCCATAAAGACATTCACTTCCCGAAAAGTTATGGTCTGAACTCCCTCATACGAAGTACTATGGAATATTTTCACCAGCCGATTGAGATCACTGCCCTACATAAGGAACTGACACAAACTCCATTAAGAAAAGCAAACAGAGAAAAGCAAATATACCCCTAAGACCAAAAGTAAAATGTATGTTACCTTTACCCACGATGTCTGTTTACTCTCTAGGTGGCCTACATGTAACGCTTTGTGCAAATCTAGGGGCAGGGCAAGCGTTTTGCTTACACTCGACGGTGCACACAAAACTTCGGTTGACTATTCTTCACACTTTGCTTCTTGTACACATGCATAAGTTAATATTGACAGTGCTCGGCATCACCTATTCAGTTTTCATGAAACTTTACTGAACATATTTTAAAGTATTTTAAAGATGTAAGATTTGAGGTTTTCACGGCAGTGACTATGAAGAATTCCGTCTTCTGGGATGTGGTGCAGACTTAGTCTGCTCAGTCTGGTTCATCGCTCGCGGATTTCTTTTACTCTGAAGATGGAGGCAATACGTTCCTCCGAAACTTCGGTTAACAAAATATCTACACGGTGCCACAGCTCAGAAGACGGCATTCTTGACATTATGTTGTCTGAGATAGCAAAAGCGTCATTAAAAACATACGAGTACATTAATCAACTGATAAACAACATACAGCGTGAACTTACGTCACGTAACTTCGGAACTAACACTCATATGTCGTGTTCTGAGACTTCCAGTCTCACATCTCAGCCAGTGAGACTGAATATCGAAATTGATCTTTGCATGATTTTCCTCAGTTCATCCAGCAAACGCCGGAAGTATATCACGAACAAGTTCAAGGCCATTTCCTGACACATGCTTTCCAATTCACTATTCACCGGTCATCCGGTCATTCGCACTGTCCACTCTGACATACTCAGAGCGTCGTTAAACAAACCATGCATTAACTATTTAATTAGTAAACAACATTACGTATACAGCTAAATAAATTAGGAACTGATACTCATGCGTCACTGTCTCGAGTTGGAATTTTGGTTCCGAGAAAGGTGTTTTGAGGTTTGTCGCGTTTTCCTCAGTCCCTCCACGCAAATTATGCGATAATAAGCGTACTCTAAATAAGCTGCTATCGTATCCTTTCAGTCTTTCCAGTTCATCGGTCACAGTAACCGCCGATCACGGTGGCCGCGCGGTCTAAGACTTGAACTGTCTTCGCCAGCTCGAACACTGTGATCGGGGGTTCGAATCCCACCTGAAGCATGGATGTCTGTGTGCGTTTATTCTGTGTTTGTGTTGCTCTGAATGTAGGTAGCCTTGCGATGGGCTGATTCCCCGTCCAAGGAGTCCTAGAGATTTTGTATGAATTAAGAAACTGAAAAAGCGGCTAAGGTCCACTAGGGCTGTAGAGCCATAGGTAGATAGACAATATAGCGCAGACATTTGACTATACAGTTATGAGAATGTCATTATATGAACGTTACCCTCGTGTCGGCAAAATTCCAGACAATGAGAATCAGCGGAAATGCATATCATTCGTTCCTGCAATATAGATGTGTCTGTTCTTCGTGTTGCCTCAAAGGAATTCCGTAGGTACGACTTCCAAACATACCCGCCCATCTCTATCAGAGCCAAATGCGTGCCAGCTTGTCGTAAATAGCTGTGTCACATGCGCGCAATGCTAGCCATGACGCCACTTGTATTTTGTCACAGATGACGTAAGGACACAGGAGAAGACACAAAAGAACCAACGCCATTATGACGTTGCGGATGAATGTCTTTCACAATCCCTAGAGAAGTTTTAATTTAAGAGGAGCTACTTTGGTCGCTATAAAGGATTCTTTTAGGATATTTTCGTAACGTTTCTGACGTCACTTTATATTCTTCAGGTCAAAGATACCACGGCGTGAAGAAACAACTGCCATGCTACCAGCAACAAGGTTTATGTTGTCAAGGAAATGCGTGCTATATTACAGAACGTACGCTATTGGAAAATAAAAGCACTGGTTTCCAGACCTTCAGCCTAATTTCCGTACTCAGAAAAATAAGCCCCTAATATTATAAAGGGTAGAGGCCTTGAGACGAGCTGATCACCCACCCAAGGAGTCCTACCGTATGTGTAAGATCTAGAAAAACCGAAGTGTATGGAGAAGTTCATGGAGGTAGGACTAGGCCCGCTGGGGCTGTAGTGCCAAGGGGAAAAATATTATAAAGAAAATAATAAGGAAGCGAAGTGTCTGAAGAAGATGCAGAAAATTGGGAGGGATGGGGCCTTCATGCAGAAAACCCTTAAAAGAGAAAAACATTGTAAGAAGAAGCCGATAATAACACGTGAACGTGTTATTCTGCGTGACTGTTCCACTTGTATTTCTCTAATAACTAACGGACTTTCACTGAACGTGGCACAAATATGGATTCTCGATCCGCCTGCCGCGGCGCACGTTTTGCTGAGTGCGTCGAGACGCTCTGAAGAGAAGAACGACTATATACAATAAAAATATGCAAACTAAGAAATCAGTAATTATAAACATTATATTATTACCCTAACTTACTGTATTTTAGTGATCAGTTAAAACATAGCAATAGAAAGAGGTAAAGTTCTCCCTGTGCTCAACGAATTAAGCACTACGCCATTAAGGCGTATGCGGAAGTGGATGTATAGATCCACATTTTCTTGAGCTCAGCACTAGTTTGAGGTGAGTGGTCAGCTTCACGCCGCGGCCGTTTTACCCCCGGGGAAAGAGTCCCAGGTCCCCGTTGGCTAGGTGGCTGGTTGAGCCCCAGAGCCGGTCTGGACGCCGTGGAGAAGTGAAAATTCTTGGCCCTACCTGGACTCGAACTCCGACCTCTCGGTCGTCCACCCCGTAGCCAGTCATAACAATAAAATTATATTTTAATAAACTTTGCTTTTAAACTGAAAGCTACAAGAAAACATCTTTCTCTTAACGACAACATTGATTTTACACAATAAATTACATTATTTAAAAATAAAGTGTATTTCTATTAAAAATTTAGTTCTCTATTCTCACGCTAGTGCGACAGAAAAAGAAAGCTCATCCCGAGCGTGCCGAGAGCAAAGTTGAGAACCCCCCCCCCCTTCCAACCTTTATTTTTTCTAATTTCTTACCATCGCTAGCACCAACAAGGCGGTAGGGTGAACTTCTGAGTTGATAACGACACTAGTACCACACATAATGTAGGATATTCAAATGTTGCAGGGTAGCTGACTTTGTTCTTTTCGAAGAATTCTATCTTCTGGAATGTCGCGTGGTGGAGCCTGATAGAAGTTTACAGACGTTTCAGAGCAACGTAGTGCCATAACGGAAAGTTTCTACTGCAATATACGGTGTCACAACCCAGAGGAAATATTCTTTATATTCATAATGATTACAGCCTCAAACCTCACTTTTTCGAGACTATTCTTACTGAAGGGTTTCGTCGCCTTCCTCAATCTCCCCAGGTAAATGGGAGATAGTGTCTTAAATTTGGTTATGAGCGCTTCCTTTCTAATCCTTGAGTTAATTAATCACTACCATCCTACCATGTGACATGATACAGCTTTAAGTGACTGCGTTGTTAGACAAGCTACAGAGAAACACTGTGACATGTTTCCGAGTCGGGGCCGTCCACAGTCTCCTGCTCCCTGTTACTTCTTTCCTATTAAGTCCAAATATCCCCCCCCCTTCCCTTATGACAAGGCGCATAAAAAAGCAGGTGGAAACACAGAAAGTTCTGAACTTAATGGCAAAAAGCATTCCCGAAAATAATCGCCTCTGAATTTCTGAGTCAGTGCTAAATGTAATTTTTATGTTTGGTATGAGATTCTCAGAACAGAGGCAACGTGGTTCGATAGAAGTTCACAGACGTTCCGCAAGAATACTGCTTCCCTCTTCAAAGGTTAATCGAAGCGCGCGTCGATAACCGAGCAGATAAGGCCAGGGTTTTGATTGGTTGCTTTTACTCCCAAGTATTTAAGCTTTGTCACATTTTCAAGGAATTTATTATCAGTCTCTTTTTTGACACTGCTGATGGGACATGAACACATATTTACATTTGGCTTTGTTTGCTTGTGTTTCTAAACTGGTCACTACTCTTCTGCTCTAAGGTGTTCCTCATTATACGGCTCGAGTTCATGTGGAAGATGGAAAAACTAAAACCAGTAGTTTGAAGAACATATAGGATCACAGATTTATCGCTCCATTCCAGTAACAATCGCAGTCCTGACGCGAATCGATTTCTAAGTTTCGAGAAGTGACAGCAATGGAATATACGTGTGTAATTTGTTTGAACGGCAGTTGTAGTTCCTCACCTCGTCACCACGCGCCGTGGTTGTCTCGATGAGGGAGCTGAAACTGCTACGGCTGCCGTGGTGCGATTTCCTTCTAAGTTCCGAAGGCTCGTCCCTTCCAGGAGAACCTCCGCGCTGGATTCTGGACAGGCGATCATTCTCCAGGCACTGGCCGATAGGGATTCCAAACACCATACCTCCTCCTCCGGCATCTGCAACGTCGCACCAACACATGACACCTACTCGTACTAAATTAACACACTGAGGCATGGAACTCGTTAACAGAACTAAACATCAAGTGGGTCAGGTCAGAGTTGAGGCACTGACCCCTGACCGTGAAGACTCAGGTAGAATCCCGGGTGACTGCAAGTGAGTTTCGTGATGGACGCGCTGACCCTGGAGTAGGTTCTTCTCAGACTTTCTTCAGTTCTCCCCTGCTAATCATCACTCCACCATTGCCACATTCTCATTTGTCAGAGCCCTGATCAGGGAGCGCATTATCATACTCTTACATCACATGAAACACGTGGTCCCCGGTACAAATACCAAATGGTTACTGCTGTTCAGGGAAAGAATAGATGTTCACATGAAAGTCATAAGTACACTCCGAGGGGAAAATGCAGTCATTTAAGGTTAAAGCATGTGGTATATATACTATGTTGGGTTTTTGGACTTTATCCATCGTCCTGGTTTTTAAGATAACAAATATTTGTTATCTTAAAAACCAGGACGATGGATAAAGTCCGAAAATCCAATATCTCTGTGTGTTATACACCATCGTCAGAATCCTATAGTAACTACATGTGGTATATATGTTTGCAACTGTGCTTTATAGGATTAAGTAACAGGTCCTTGGAATGACCTGTAAGGTCTGCCTTAATTTGGCCTACTTCCACTTCTGAACGATATGGAGCAGCTACGCGAGTGGTAAGGGCGAAGTTCGGTATGATTAACCGTTACGTCACTGTCTCCTCTGGCAGATGCGGATGAAACTATTCGGCACTGATTATTATCGCGTGTAACTTTTAATAAATGCAATTAATTTTTTCAGAGCTATGTTATTAAGAATTTGCACAACTTTTGTAATCTTCCATAATATAATGTATATGTAATTATATATATATATAGCATTTCTGTTCTAGTTCTATGACATTTAAGATATGCAAGTTTCATTCACTTTAATTCAATAAACGGCAAGAGTACATCTCTGGGAATACTTTGCTAAGATATACGAGAAAATAATTTGAATACAATGTAAGATTTGAGGTTCTCACGGCGGTGACTATGAAGAAAGCAGTCTTCTGGGATGTGGCACCGTGTATATGTGGTGTTAACAAGCAGTCTGCTTGTGCCGGTTCTCACGGTCTCTTCGCTTGCGGATTTCTTATTTTTCCTTCTACCCTGAAGTTGGAGGCGATACGTTCCTCCGAAACGTCGGTTAAAATGACCGGCAAAAATGAATACACATAGAGATGGCATACTGCGCCAACCACGCGGGTTAGCTTCTGAAAATACAACAGTAGCGACACCGTGCCCTTGCAGCTACGCGAGTGTGTGGGAGTAGGGGAACGGCGACTGCTGTTTACGCACGTACGTAAATTTGTAGGATTTGAGGTTCTCGCAGAGTTCTGGTGTATAGTGCTGTGTAGCCTACTGTAGCCCCCGAAATGTCTGTTGAATGGACTACACGGCCTTATGCATATATCAGAATCATCATATAAGGTTTTAGTCTGAAAAGTGAAGCCATGAGAACATATGTCAGACCTAATCTCAGGTGAAGGTAGAAATGTCCCCGTCCTTAATAACACCACACCCTGAAGATGTTTGGGGGAGTTAAGTTATAGCTCCACACATTCTTAATCTGGGCACGAGATGCTGAACGGTTAGTTTCATGTCCCTGTCTCTTCACCCCTGGGTAAGAGCTACCGGTACCCAGTGGACTGGAGCTACTGTGGGTTAAGGGACTGGTCCGGGCCCTGCGAAGGGAAAAATCTCGCCCATATCACTGTAAAGGGGGTTTGATGTGGCCTTCAACATAGCACCTATAAGTGAACAAAACTAACACTAATGTACTAAAGGTTTTTGTAGTATATCGTGAAACAACAATTCATAGTGTTCCAGCTAACTTAAAAGAAAATTTCACATCTGTACTAATCAGAAAGTTCCATTATACGTGGAATACTGTCGAAATCATAAAGACGTTACTGTAAACATTGTGGTAAAAGAAACTGAAGTTTACATTTGATTATGTCGTCAAGTATGAAGAGTTATTTATCTTAAGATAAGTCTGTTCTGTTGGAATAGTTACAAATACTGCATTGAAATGATGTGCATTTACAGTTCTAAAGAGAGGATACAGTTTTTTTTTCCAATATAGCTTGCCCCACAAAATTTTTTTCTGATTATCATAAAAATTCATGCGTGAATCCAGGAACCTGAGGCCTTCGAATGCACTGGCCAAGACAAATATCAAAAATAATTTCCCGACACTATATTGCAGGCTCTTCTGCACGGGAAACCTTGTGTCAGCTAATGCTAAAACCTTACGTTCTGTGTGAGAATAGGCTTCGAAGGAAAAAGTTTTGCCAAGGAAACATTTTATAAACTTTAAAGTAACTTCACGACGGACCAACGCAATATTTAACTTCAACTTTTACGTTACTAATTAATGAAACATCTCAGCAAGATACGTGAGACCTGATACTGACAGAGAAGGAGAGAGAAAGACAGTAAATATATCTACAGTGTTTGCACAAATTGAAACAATGGTGACAGTTATGTTGCGTCATGTCTGTCACCTATCAAATATCGGGAGTTATGGGCAGAAGTTATCACTACTTACTGATTCATAATTACACCAATACTGTTTATACAAGAGCATGTTCAAGCGTTTCAGAGAGAGTAGACGTCGTTAAGTTCATCCCAGGAACATTTTCCCTCGCTACTGCAAACAAACGAACCAGTGCTGAATACAAGATTTTCCGCTGGCTATTGTGAATACGCATAGAGTACGGCTGGTGTTACAGACAGTGCTGGTGCAGTGATCGCTAGTTCTGCTGCAAGTTCGGCAAGCCACGATTTCAAATTTCAGCACGTACCTATACCACTCGATCCCTCCAGATTATGCTGGAGCAATAACGCTTCCTTGTGCACTTACTTACTTATGGAGCTGAGCCCTTCTTGAGAAGCCAAATCTGCAGCTACTCAAGAATTTCTCAACATTTTATGGAAACCGAAAGTTCATTACCGTGTTCACAAGAGCCCTTCACTGGTCCCTATCCCGAGCCAGATCAATCAAATCCACATCAATCCATCCTATCTCTCTAAGATCCATTTAATATTGTCCACACACCTACGCCTTGGTCTTCCCAGTGGTCTCTTTCCATCTGGCTTTCGCACCAATATCCTATATACCTTCCTCTTCTGCCCCATTCGTACTACATGCCCCGCCCACCTCATCCTCCTTCACTTGATCATCCTAATTATGCTTGGAGAAGAGTACAAGTTATGAAGCTCCTCATTATGCAGTTTTCTCAAACCTCCTGTCACTTCATCTCTCTTCTGTAACACTCCGAATAACATTTTCCTATCGGAAGCTATGAAACTTGTACATTTGGTGAAATGTCATTAAATAAACAAATGCACAATAACAATCTTCCTGGCATTCATAGTCTCAAATGAGATCGAGATAAGAAGAACGCGTAGAAAATTACTATCTTCAGTTATGTGATGGGTGTCCCGGATGAACGTCATTTCCCATCAGGCTAGTTTTGTCATGAAGATGCCAGGACAGGCTCATCAGACACGTAGGTAACAATCTACCACACTGCACGGCGTCATATATCAGACAATATCACTCGTCATAGTCACCGTCGCCAGAATAACAAATCTAGTATACAAGCATTTGGAGGGACTGCACGCCTGAAAGACGATTACACGCAGCACAAATATGTAGAAGAAGTTGCCGGCGTCGCAAGGTGCATTACCTATTCAACGTCTGCAGCGACGCCAAAGAACGGTGATCCAAGAACCAGAGAAATAAAACACTGGGTTTCCGTGGGCCACCAACAACTTGTTCACTTCGCACTGTGCAGCATAAACATGGGTGCAAATTCATTCGTTTCCAGAGGTAAATTTGTCTCTGTGCTTAATTAACTGCTAAAATAAGCACCATGCCCTGAAGACGCATGGGGAGTGCAGGTATAGCTACACCATTTTTGACCTTAGCAGTCGATGGAGGTGAGTGATCAGCTTCATGTCAGTAAGTCTTGGTGTCGAGACCCAAATTTATTACTGTTTGACAGTTACGGTCTTGTTTTTGTGGAGCACCCTCTCTGACGAGAGGACGGGTCTGTCTTTTGTATATGCTGTTGGGCCTTGCAGCGCAGTCTTTCTCAGGTCTGAGTCCCTTGGGACTCACGACCATATTTTACTGTCTCAGATTTGAGACTTCCCTTTTCGTCGCTACCTACGACTCGCAGGGTCACGGTGGAGGTATTCGATCCCGCCTCCACACGGGTTATTCGCGGGTGATCTCGTCAGAGTCAAAGTCAGAGTTACTTTACGACTGGCGGTTTACCACCAATAAGTTCATCTTGGCGTCAGGACCCTTGAGGCCCACGACAAGAGATTTTTTTCCCCCAATTGAACTCTTGCGGTAATAGTCCTTATGTAACATCGTCTCTGACGAAAAGATGGGTTTGTTTCTTATGAATACATTTGACCTTTCGTCAAGTGTATATTTTGCACATATAACATGTTATCGAAAATTCTTACTTTTGCAATACACACAAGTCCTCTGTCGGTACAGGCTTTACAGAGCAGATCATGCCTATCTTACGTATCTTATGCTACAACAACAACTTTGTCATTTGAACGGTCGTAAGCTTGACCTCCCTTAAATCCAGACACCAAGTTTCACACCCATACAGAACCACAGGCAAATTATAGTTTTCTATATTCTAATTTTTATGTTTTTGGAAGGCGGATGAGAAGACAAAAGGTCCTGGACTGAATGGTAGCAAGCATTACTCGAGTTCAGTGTCCTCTTAATTTCCTCCTGAATCAGTTTTTGATTTGAACTGTGCCACATTTCAAAACATATGTTTCCTATCTTTATGTCATGATTTGATCCAAAACAGAACATAAATGAATCAGCATAGCATTAGTATTATATAACTTAGTTTCCATGTTTTCAAATTTAGACACACTTGTGAGTTATGTACGGGCTATTATCCTTCGCAATTCGCAAACGCCCACGACAGTTTTACAAAGTCTATTATGGCCTCTGTAAGGCTCAGTCGCGGAAATTGCACTGTTGGGTAATGAGGGGCCGAATCCAAAAAATTTTAGTAATAGCAAAATAAAGAAGAAAATAATATGAAATAATGAGGGGAGTAAAGAAAAAAGAAAGACGAAAACAATTTTTTCCTGATGGTTTGCCACGCAAGTAAGAAAATATGAAAAAAGCCTCAAAGGATCCTATGCCGCAATCACTGTAACATTTGAAATATCACTTTCAATTTCGAAGTGAGACCAGCTGTTCTCATATGAAAACGTAATAAATTATGTGTTGGAAAGTCGTGTGTAAAAATATCACAGATCTCAAAGGGCTAGGCCTCGTGCAGAAAGCACAAGAAGTAGAACTCAGGAACCCGTTACAAATACTAACCTTTATCCTTGTCATCCTTGCCGCGCGTGGTGTCGAAAAAGCCAGTGGTGAGTGCCTTCCTCTTGAGCAAGTAGGGCCTTCTCTTCGGCTTGTGGGACACCGACACCACTGTCTCTGTGGGCAACAGGAGAAAACTGTAACTCGGCTCAGTGCATAAGCGGGACATGAAACATTACGTAGAGCTCTATCTTCTGGTATATAACGCCCTGTATCCCGCTGAAAGTCAACCGACGTTTCGACCTGCTTGATGCTGGTTTCGTGATTGGCTTATTCTTTTACCTTGAAGACAGAGGCGACATGTTACTCCGAAAAGTCGGTTGAATTTCAGTGCCCTGTACGGACAGAACTTTTCATAACCACCGCTGTGAGAACCTCAAAACCTACAAGGGAAACCTTATTTTACTTCAAGATTAATGTTGGTATGACGGAAACAGTAACGCACATCTATCTATCTGCCCAAATTTCTTTTGAAATCCTCAAGCTCCAAATAGATTTTGGTGTCATCTATACAGCTCATATTTTCATATTCGTGAGAACACGAATACAATTTAAGTTTTCAATTTTCACTGCGCTGAAAAATAAAATTTCGGTCTTCTAAGATGCGACGCCGTGTGCTGTGGTAGATGGGCCGTATCTATAAGACTACACGATATCACATCATAGGAGCCCATAATCTTTAAATAAAGTTTAATTGGAAATTCCTGTATTGTTCGTTTTATATTTGGTTTATGCGGACAGAAATATTTACTTGAGAACGATTGGTGTAGAATCAATGTCAGATTTGATCGCAATTCCCGGTTGTAAAAATGAAACATTCAGACAAACATACACACGTAACCATTCATTGCAGCACAAACATTCATTCTCTCATGATGGACGTCAAAACTCGCGTTAACAATTTTTATAAAATTCACAGTTTTTACTCCCGTGCACTCGTACTACTTGGTCTCTCAAATGTGTCATAATTCTAGACTCGCGAATCAAAATTCTGTAGAGCCTAGACTCTTTCCTATTTCCTCTGTGCTCGTTTCTGTAATTCTGAAAACTGGATAATGGGCAGAGTTTACTGAAATGGTAGGCTTGTATCCAACCAACTATTCTTTCTACTATAATACATCATTAAACACTGGTTTAAATATTCTCCTTCATCCGGGCTTCGTGGTTTATGACCACTCAGGAACTCCGTGTGAGTATTTTAATAACGAAATAATGCGACTATCGATCCTCCTGCTGGGCTTGCTGAGAAGTAAATACGAAAGCATTTGGGCCAGAGGCCAACAATTTTCCTTATTCCAGCTCAGTAAAATATTTTCAATTTGGCCTTAGGCATTTCTTCCGGCGCTTATTTCACTTCGGAGATTGATCCACTGAGCTGATTCTTTTATTCATCATCATCATCATCATCATCATCATCATCATACACAACACTACGGGGCTATTATGAATGATTTTGAAGGTAAGAAATGAGTGTACCTTCGAAACAGCTGCAGATACATATCTGAAGCAGCGAAACCCACTCAGATTACGTTAGGATTTTTATGCCGTGAAGCCTTTGACTGCGGTGGTTAGGTACGAGAATGTAGATACCTCGGACACGGCGTACCTGAGTTACCTCCAGACTGTAGCTGAGCGCTGTACCCCTTGAGCTTGTCAGCTTCCTCTAAACTCTCTCTACCCAGCTAGCCGGCTGGCATTATAAAAGCGTTACTATAGTCTGGGGACCTTTCAATGAAGAGGGATTGCTGTCACCGAACTGCATCTCTTCGGGGAGAGGACACAGAATAAATTCGAAATTCAAGGGGGTCTGTCTACATTATTTTTAATCTCTTACAGTATTTACAAGCAGTTCGATCACAGTAGCCTCTCCGCCTAAGGCATGAACTGTCTTCGCCCGCTCAAATAATGGGGTCCTAGGTTCGAATCCCACTCGAGATATGGATGTCTGTATGCGTTTATTCTGTTTGTGTTGTTCTGTGCGTAGGTAGGGGCCCTGCGACAGGCTGATCCCCCATCCAAGGAGTCCTACGGACTCTATACAGGATTAAGAAACCGAAAAGGCGGCCAAGGTAAAACAGAGGACTGTAGAGCCGTATGTATATAAGCCGCTGTGCCTCTATTAAGTTGTGCTTCGCAATTAGAACACTGACCCTAACACAAAGTGAAAGGTAACATTCAGACTCTCCTTTGTCTATCCGAAATGTATGAGTGTTTAAATGTTTTATATAAAGCCTTGTTAAAAATCTGCACGCATTTGTATTTTATCTACACAGTTTTTTATTCCGAGCAAAACAATAAAAAGAGAGTTCTAGCTCCTGGGCTATAATACCATACAGTCCACTGAAAATCAACCGACGTTTCGGAGGAACATTGTTACCTCTATTTTCAGGCTTGAGAGAGCAAGAAACAAGCATGAAGCAGGTAGCAAGCACGAAGATGCAGGCTATATGTCCCTCCAAAACGTCGACTTTCAACTGAATATATATCGCTATATCCCAAAGATAGAACTCATCATAACTACCGCTGTAACAAGTCCTGCAGTGCAGTGCAGTACAGCTTGTATCTGATTTGGCCAATAGTGCATTCAACGAACTATTTTACAACACTTCGTCTAAAGACGCAAAATAAGAGAGGGCTGACGATAATCATAAAACGAAGAGTTTCATAATCCGTTCTCTTTATCAATAACTATAACGGCGATTAAACAAACGAGGAAGAGCTGGCCAATAGAATGTGTACGGGACGCATAGGTTAGAAATATACTCCACTTGCTATGCATGTCTCTCATTTTGTTTAGGGTGCAAATTATTCGGATATTTAGCTCAAAGTAATAGGGGTACAACCATTATTTTTTAAAACTTTAAAAGGAAACTTTCTTTTATTTTGTAGTTTTGTTGACCGTTCCGTTAAATGCACTGTCCGGACATACCGAATTTTAATTAAAATGGTTGACATGCCTTGTGTGGGATTCGAAACAACGATCCCGGCTTCCGAGCGAAGATAGTACATGCCTTAGACCGCTCGGCTATCGTGACCGGCGTAATACTCGTGGTTTCATGGATTTGGCTGATGCATTTCGGTGAACGATTTGACGTAATTTTACCTCCTCCCAAGACAAATTCTGAGTTCATTCATACGAAAAATCCTTGAGATATGGGTTAATAAAACCCGTATATTACAAATTCATTATTCCGTGTGTGTTCCATTAGTGTTCTTGGAGTTACCGGTAATTAATTACGAGCGCATATCTGCTATTGACAAGTCGATCAGTAGCACAGCAGTTATTCTTTCGGCTACGTGTATAAACTGAGCTATCTTCGACAAAATCGGGTATAACGATTTAAAAAAATTTCAGCCAAAACTTTGTAATACAATTATGTTCTGTACTCTGTTTTTATGTGAAAGAGACGTAGATGCACATATCACTTTTTACACAATCTGAAATGATAGCGCTCTTTACGTACTACTATACTTCCGGTCACCAATGAGACATCGATTATTGACAGAAATCACAAGAATATTGCGAAACAAATATAAAAGTGAAAAACTTCTCATCTCGCTCAAACCTCATTACACACGAGCATGACATAATGAAGAATTTTTTATTAAAATTCGGAAATTTAAGAAACCGATTTTCATTTACATTATTTATACCCCTGTAGACTAGTGTAAAAGCCGGTCACAGCAGCCGAGCGGTCTAAGTAAGGCATGCGCTGTCTTCGCTCGCTCGGAAGCTGGGACCGTGGGTTCGAATCCCACAAAAGGCTTGGCTGTTCAGTGTTTGTGTGTATATGCACGTTTTTCTGTCTTGTGTACAGGTAGAGGCCTTACGACGAGCTGATCACCTTCCCAAGGAGTCCTACCGAATGTGTAAGACCTAGTAAACCGAAGCGAAACGGAGTTTCATGAAGGTAGGCAAAAGCCAAAATTGGGGCTGTAGCTCCAAAGGAAGAAAGACTAGTGTAATGTGCATAGAGTAAGATTAAGCTGCCTCGATAGCGGCCTCCGTAGTCTAGAGGTAACGTTCCCACCTCATGACGCGGGTTCAAATACCCGGCGGAGGTCATCGAATTTTAAGGGCGGAAAAATTCAGGGAACAAGTCCTCCGGGAGGGACTTTAAGCCGTGGGTCCCGTGTCGTAGCTTTACAGCACGTAAAAGAACCTCATACCTCCAAAGGAGGTCACTGAGC